GATCTCAGACTTCGTTTTGGGCTCCATCCAAGTTCTGCCACCCTTATCCCAGCCCAGGAGAGCAAATGCCCATCAGCACCACCAGCAATACGACTACTCAAAGAAGGACTTTAGAGCAGAGAAGAGGTGTTAAATGCAAAAACCTGATGTATGGTTCATACCCTTGTGATCCAAATTCAGAGCCCATCAGTGTCAATGAGAAGATATTTGGCTAGATAAGGATGGTTCCTTCTGGAAGAACAGGTTTTGTTCTGTTCTACTGTCACTGTGCTTTCCGTTTTGCTGGAAAATATAAAAGTCATAAGGAAAGATGTTCCCTGGTGCTCAAAGATGACAACTTCAGGCGTGCTGTCTCCCTTGCCTAGCTTCAGCAGGATCAGGAGTGGTGTTCTCTGCATTGTTAGATGCTCTTGCTGCTATTTCTGTGTTGTTCTGCTTGATTCTTTGACGCTAGACACTCCATTTGAGATGTCTTGTTTAAAGAAAAGATACCTACTTTCTTTAAATCTTTCTTTCCAATTAACCAGCAGTGGGGTTTCTGCCAACAGCCAGCCAGCCAGCCAGCCAGCCTGTCTCCCTCCTAACGCAGAAACGTGTACTGCTTTCAGGATGCTACAGCGCTGCTTGTGGTAGTGCCTGATGCAATGTGGTTTGGTATCAACAGCAAGGACATGACTAGAAGGAGAAGTCGGCATCCATACCCACGGAGGTAAGGCTAAAGTAAATGAAAAAAGGATGTAAAGAAAAGGAGTGAGGTGATCTCCCATCAAGAGGGGGGCCATGAAGATGAGCTGAGGACTGGAGCACCTCTGCTGTGGAGACAGGCTGAGAGAGCTGGGCTTGTTCAGTCTGGAGAAGAGAAGGCTCTGGTGATCAATAAAGCAGCTTCAGTGCCTAAAGGGGCTGACAAAATGCTGGAGAGGAGCTTTTGACAAGGGCATGGAGGAATAGGACAAGGGGGAATGCCTTTAAGGTGACACATGGGAGATATAGATTAGGTATTAGGAATAAGTTCTCTGCTGTGAGGGTGCTGAGGCACTGGCACAGGTTGCCCAGAGAAGCTGTGGCTGCCCCATCCCCGGCAGTGTTCAAGGCCAGGTTGGAAAGGGCTTGGAGCAACCTGGTCTTGGAGCAGCCAGGGACACCTGGAAGGTGTCCCTGCCCATGGCAGGGGTTGGAACTGGATGAGCTTTAAGGTACTTTCTAACCCAAACCATCATGTGATTCTGTGATTCTGTGAAAGAATACCTGGCCACCTGGGGACGTGCAGAAAATCAGACTCCCGCTCTGCCCATGGCTCTTCTGACATCAATACCCAGGAATATAATCTAATCTAATCTGATCTAATAATCCAGTATCATGAACTGCATTTTGCAGTGGCATATCTGATAGCAGCGAAGTAATGGGCCTGTTACAGATTATGTTGTCTGTCTGAAAGAATTACTTTTGGCTTCAAAAGCAACATTACTTCCTCACCATATATTCCAGAAAAACTTTCCTAGCCTCAGATACTGCAGAGAAAATGCAGGGCTGATCTCTATAGCCTGGGCAAGGCATGGTCTGGTCTCCTCTGCTATGCAGGCTGAGGAAAAGAAAGATGTTCACATGCAGTACTAGCCACAATAAAGGCTTTCTGGTTCTTCTTGTCTGGTTCCTGCTTCTAACATTACATAGATACATATAAAATGAATCTCATCGATATATAATCTGCCTTTGATTCTTAAGAGTTTAAGGATATTATGGAAATGGTTTGAAATGTCAGAAATACTGAGTCCTCAGTACAGGAAAGACCTGTTGGAGAGGGTCCACAGAAGGGCCACAAAAGTCATCAGAGGGCTGGAGCACCTCTCCTATGAGGAACGGCTGAGGGCGTTGGGCTTGTTCAGCCTGGAGAAGTCTCTGGGAGACCTTATTCTGGCCTTTCAGGTCTTAAAAGGAGCCTGTAAGAAAGATGGGGACTTTTCAGAGGGCCCGTTGTGATGGGGTGAGGGGTGATGGTTTTGAACTAAAAGAGGGAAGATTCAGGCTGGGCATAAGGAAAAAATTCTTTACAAAGAGGGTCATAAAACACTGGCACAGGTTGCCCAGAGAGGTGATGGATGCACAATCCCTGGAGACATTCAAGGCCAAGCTGCATGTGGTGATGGGCAACCTGATCAAGATGAAGATGTCCCTGCTTACTGAAGGGTGGTTGGATTACATGGGCTTTGAAGGTCCCTTCCAGCCCAAACTATATACATAGGTGATACATACCCATAGTGACAGGGAAAATGCAAGGTATTCTGACATCTCCCAGCCTCCTGAATTTTCAAGGATAGAAACGGTGCCTGAACTGGAATGTTTTTATTGGTTTGAGTACAATGACTTAAATATGGCTTGTGTTCTGTCTTGCCTGAACAAGCCCTGTGCACATAGCATCAGCTGGAGCTCCTAAACCAGTGCAAGAACACCTGCACAGACCTTCCTCTCATATAGTGACATTTTACAAGAAGACAGTACTAATACCATATTCCCTAGTATGTCTTTGGACACCTTTAGGCAGGCTCCTGTGCTGGCCTCAGGGCAACAGGTTTCTTGTCACTAAAATACAGCAAAGGGGTTCCAGGCAGCACAGTATTTCCTGTCTCCTGGAACCAAGAGCAACTTCCAGACTGGTGCAAAGTGATGTAAAATCAGGAGGTCACACAGGGGGAGGGGGCTGAGCAGAGGCTGGAGTTTCAATACATGAATATTGAATTCCTTTGGTAGGGGAATTCCTCTTGTACACAGAGCTAGGCAGAGGGCTGGAGGAAAATAAATCCATTCCTTTCTTTTCTTGGAGACATGCTCACAAGATGACTCTGTTCTGAGACACTGTGCTCATGCAGGACAAATCCTTGCCGCCAAAAGCCCATGAACACAGGGGATGGGAGCAAGAAGATAGCAGTGTACAGAGCGCACAGCAATGCTGTAAGCGTGGTGGCAGCTGTGTATTGCAAAGGCCTCTTTACATCTTGATACGAAGGGGAGAAAGACAAATAGAAACCACCAGAATGGGAAATTGCTCACTGGCAGGATGCTAATTATTTTAAAGATGTGATAAACTGTGCTGTGAAGGGAAAGACAGCAGAAAGATGCTAGGCAGATGACCTGGTTTCAGCCGGGATAAAGTTATTTTTCTTCCTATTAACTGGCACAGTCTGTGTTTGGGCTTTAGTTGGGAGAACAACACTGATAACACACCAACGTTTTAGTTGTTGCTAAGTAGCACTTACCCTGATCAAGGACTTTTCAGTCTCTCATGCTTTGCTAGGGAGGAGGGGCACAAGAAGCCAGGAGGAAGCAGAGACAGGACACCTGTCCCAAACTAGCCAAAAGGGTATTCCACCACAGCACATCATACCCTGTATAGAAAATGGGGGGAGTTACCCAGAAGGGACAGACTGCTGCTCAGGTCAGGCTGGGTATTGGTCAGTGGGTGCTGAGCAATTGTACATCACTTACGTTTGGTGTTTTATTGTTGTTGTTTTCATTTTCCCTTTCTATATATCTCTCCTTGTTCTTTCCCTTACTACTATTAGTACTGGTATTATATTGTACATTATTTCAGTTATTAAACTGTATATTCTTTTGACTCAGCCAAGGGCTGGTGAGAGAGATACCAAGAGATGGGATGGGGTCAGGATGCAGGAGACAGAAGATGGTTTGGAAAGAGAGGAGAGCAGAGGGATAGCTACTGCCACTTGGTCAGTTTATCAGCTCCTCTTCCCTTAAGTGTCAAACATGGAAGTAGAAGAAACACAGGTTTGAGGAGTCCAGGGTGTTATTAGGAAAGCCTGCAGAGGGGTTCACACAATGAGAGCAGCTCAGCTCACCTGCCAGTGCGTGCTGGTCTGCTGGAGCTCCCTAGGCTCCACTGATGGGACAGGAGCTTTGACACTTCTCCCCACATGTGTGTCCTGATCCCAGACCAAATCCCACATGGATATCCTCAGGGATGTCCTCAGACCAAAGAGGCAAAGCAGAAGAGGAAGATGAAGCTAATCAGGGCTGCAAGGTGGCCTTTCAAGAGAAGAGAGGGGTGAATCCCCAGGGGAGCAGAATCTCTTTGACACAACACTTGATAGGGAAAAAGAGATAAAAACTATTCCAGAATAGCACACGAAAGAATTAAAGCAAATGAATAAACATGTGAGACAATATTAATTGCCTGAAATACAATCTGTTTGACTTTTGGTTTATAAAGATCTCTCTACTTCAGTTCCCATGGTAACTATTGCGCAAAACCACACTTTTCCTAATCATCTCCTCAGAGTTTAAAGCAATTTTGTAATCCAATCAAATGTAAAGAAGATAATTTGGGTCTTGCATTGAGAAAACTGCTACCTAATGAGCAAACAGTGACTGGGAGAGGCCAGATTTACAATGATGACCCTAGAGAGACACTTAATTACTGAATAATTAGCAGTTACTTAGCACATAGACAAGTTTCTTAACACATACAGGAAATGCTGATGGATAGCAGTTGTAATTCCATGGTCTTCCAAGCAGTCTCCTGAAGTGAGAAGCAACAAGGCTTGCTGTGCATAGATAGCACTTTCACCAGGTAACACAAACTGCAGTGAGGCATGGGTTGCATAACGGCAGAAGCTGAGACTGAAACTCTCTGCTCCCATTGAAGCTCTCAGGAAGACAAACCCCTAACACAGGGTTTTGCTGAGGCAGCTCAGGCACTGGGGAGTGGAAGGATTAAGCTGTTGGATAGGAATGTGTTTTCCAATGGGGCTTCTCCGAGCACAGTCCTCTGAGGAGTTGGAGTTCTGCTAATTCTGCAGCGTGAAAACCATGTTCACAGACATGAAGCCCGACCTCCCTTTTGGGAACTCAGTGGCACCCTTTCTGGGCTTCAGTTTAGGCAGGTAGGGTTGAATTGTTTCCCCATACACAGAGGATTTTTCTGTAGGAGGAAACACTGATGCATAGATTGCCTTCCTGGAATGAAATCCAGAGCTAGAGAAAAGTAACTAGTGCTTGACTTTAATTCTTCTAATGCTGAAGCCCAGAAAACTGTCTGAGTGGAATCAAAATGCCAACTTTCCCAAAAGGACAAAGCCAGAAAACAGCCCAATAAGTTAGGCAGGATCAGTTTTTCTTCTTACAGCAGTACAAAAGGCAGCCCTAGGCCTGCCTGAGACTTTCAAGGTCAGTCTGATTTCACCTTGGGTTTCAGGACAGTGACTTCATGCCTCCTGCCTCATATGATTACACACAGGAAAGCTCTCTGCATAATCGCTTGGCATTTCCTAAATGCAGGCCCTGTAAATGAGGTCAGGGCTCTGGTGCTGTACCTCATCCAAGGACTGCAGAGCTTGGTTCGTGCTTTGAAATAATTACCTGGCCAGCACTCTGCTATCTTCAAGTGGTCCTTCAAAAGGGCAGCCTGGGGCAGGCAGCCTCTGTGCTCCTACTGCTCATTCATCTGGTTTAGTGTTCACCTCATTGTCAGGGCATGTAAGGGGACTTAAGTAAAAAAAGAGAAAAGAGAAAATACATGAAAGTAGAGCTGCTTCAATTTGATCACATTTCAAGCACAGATGAATTAACATTCTGCAAAAAAAAAGGAAAAAGAGTGGGTGAATTTGGGTGGAATTTTTTTAAATGTTTTTGACCACTTACAGAATGGGTTGAATTTGGAAAGTTTGTTCATCTCTGTGGCTTAACTTTGGGGAAAATGTTGAGACATTCAAACGTTTCAGTATTTTTCCTTTTTCAGCTCAAAAGAAAGCAAAAACCAAAGGAAGCAGAGTCTACTCCCACTCCTACACGTGGGATCTGATTTTCTGCAACACAGATGTCATCAAGAAAAGGGTGATTTCTTGATTACACAGACATTTTTCGCTTTATCATCTTTCACTCTTCATCAAAACCAAGCAGCTCTGTGGGCAGGAGAAAGTATCAGCCTTGTTTCCTGGGCTCAGTGCTTCATGGCTGAACATCCTCTTGGCTGACGAGTGTTCTTGTCGATCAAAGCTTTCCCTGTGGTTAAGATACTTGTAATTCCTTTTCCCTCTGTCAAACACTAATGAGGGCTTGTGCTTCAGCCTCTTTCTGTGCACCAGTAGTACTCACTCCAGCTGGATAGTGCTTTGCATGGTACTTACAGAACTGGGTATTTTTGTAACCCCAGCTTTGGTCAAAATGATGGGCCATATTTTCATGGTGTGTAGGACTGTATCTGACCACAAAATCCCCTTTACTTCAGATCCTCAGAAAAACAACCTAAAACCCCTAGGCCTTGGACAAGGAAGAAGTCCTCTACATCAACACCTTGAAAGACGACCTGGAAATTCAGGTCATTCCTAACAGAAGGTGGTTTTCTTCCATCGCTCTCTTCCCCGTTCAGAAGCAGCCTCAACTCTGCCGCCGTGTGGCAGCGCTGAAAAAGAGCATGCATTAAAAAATCACCTCATCGGTGCGGAGTCCACCCCACCGGGCAGGAAAGTCCCCGCTCCGCATTGGGGTTGATTGTACAAGCAGCCACTTGCACCTTCTGACCGCCACCACCAGAGCTCCAGCCCGCAGAGGAGGGGGTGTCTTGCAGAACCGCTTGGGGCTTTCTCATAAGATGTGGCCAGTTGGTGGGGTTTGCCAACAGGAAGGCTGTGGGCACTCTGACAGTGGTCCCTGGGCTCGGGAGAGTTTTGACCAGTGATCCTGCTTTCCCCTTTGAGTGGTGGTACAACTGGAGGCCTATGTTGGTTGTAAAAGCAGGAGACACTGCCCGCAGCAGAGATCTCAGCAGACAAACCTCTTCCTCCCTACAAACATCATCACTGAATTTTAACACTAGCACAGCACCTCCAGCACGCAGGATCATGCACTTTTCTCACTTCAGTACATGAGGAGGTGTGAGCAAACTCTAAGTTAAGAGAAAACGTTAAAGACCTAAGTAAAACTTAAAGCGTATCTTGACCTACAATGTAACTCTTGCCACCTGCACAGGGAAACAGCCATGCATAGAAGCCAGAGGATCCCTCTTTAAATTAAGGATGAAGGAGAGCACTGCCAGGATGGTATTGGAGGCACCTCAAGTTGGTCAAGATCAGAGCCGTGAGGCCCTGCAGCCTCATGAACACATAAGGATCTGACATTGCTTCCACGGAGGTATAGCGTACCTCTAAGGAAGCATAAGGGTAAGAAGGGGATTTGGCCGTGGTTACTACTGGAATAAACCAGTGCTATCCCTCCACACTATGCACATTACTAAAAGTAAGTCAGAAAGCAATAATTTTATTTTTTTTTTCCAAATCTCAAGTCACAGTAACAGAGCAGGCATAAAGGAAATGGAAAGGAATAGTATTTGGAGATGTGTTAATATCTTAAAGTCACTCAGAGCCATCTTATGTTTTCACAGGGTTGGAAGGGGTTGTTGTCTGGGTTGGAAGAGACCTTAAAGACCATACATTTCTACCTCCCCTGCCCCAGGCAGGGACACCTTCCACTTGACCAAGTTGCTCCAAGCCCCATCCAACCTGGCCTTGAACACTGCCAGGGATGGGGCAGCCACAGCTTCTCTGGGCACTCTGTGCCAGTGCCTCATCACCCTCACAGGGAAGAACTTCTCCCTAATACCTAATCTAAATCTCCTCTCTCTCAGTTCAAAGCCATCCCCCTTGTCCTATGCCTACAGGCCCTTGTCAAAAGCCCCTCTCCAGCTTTCCTGTTGGCCCCTATAGGCACGGGAAGCTGCTCTAAGGTCTCCCAAGAACCTTCTCTTCTCCAGGCTGAACAAGGCAGCTCTCTCAGCCTGTCTCCAGAACAGAGATGCTCCAGCCCTCTGAGCATCTTCATGGCCTCCTCTGGACTCACTCTAATAGGGCCACATCCTTCTTATGTTGGGGGCCCCAGAGCTGGATGCAGTACTGCATATGGGGTCTCACGAGAACAGGAGAAGGGGAGAATCACCTCCCTCAGTCTGCTGGTTACACTCCTTTTGATGCAACCCAGGACACATGTTTTTTGTTAGTTAGCTAGTTTGGTTGTCTGTTTCTTAAATCTCTTTATTCTTCTGTAAACCTTGAAAGACGAGGCAGACATTTCTCCAGTCTGCCTGGGAGGGCCAAGACAAATGGGCTGGAGAAAGAATGCATAAAAGATATGGTCAAGGCTTGTTCTTTCTTGTTCTTAAATGCCTCAAAACTTTATAAAGAAGTGAGACAAATGTCAATGTAATAATAACAGAGAGTAAAAGTAATTCACAGCAGTCATTACCCTTAAAATGCTTCCTGGAACCAAGTGCAGGAGGTATGAAGTCATACTTTTCACCGTCTTTCACACTGTCTCCATAGGAAGATTGGTATGCCTTTGAAGCTACTCTTTATTTAGAGTAGACACCTACCAGCTCCTTTCTTCTTGAGCCCAGAGGCATTAAATGGCAAAATCACTATCCAGGAAGATAATCTAACCTGATATAATAATCCAACATAATCTTCCAGAGTGTCATGAACTGCATCTCACAATGAAGTATCTGATAGCAGTGAAGTAATGGGCCTGTTACAGATTATGTTGTCTGTCTGAAAGAATTATTTTTGGTTTCAAAAGCAATGTTCTTGTTGACTGCGTTAAATATGGCTTGTTTTCTGTCATGCCTGAAGGAGCCCTAAATCGGAGCAAATACACCTGCACAGGCCTTCCTCTCACAAAAGTGACATTTTACAAGAAAACAGTACTCATACCAATTCCCCCAGTGTCTTTGGATGCTTTTAGGCAGACTCCTGTGCTGGCCTCAGGGCAACAGGTACCTTGTCACTAAAATACAGCAAAGGGGTTCCAGGCAGCACAGTATTTACTGACTTCTGGAACCAAGAGCAACTTCCAGATCGGTGCAAAGTGATGTAAACCCAGCAGGTGTGCAGGGTTTTACATCTGGATCATTCTGGAATAAATAAATACTTGGAAGGCATGTGATAGTCCCTTTGCGTCTGGCTCTGCAGTTGAGTGTGCACGATAGCAGTTTGGTCCCTTTATAGACATGGTTTGCTCTATATTCTATGGCTTGTGTATCTTTTGCAGTGAAATGCTATCAGCAGCGGAAGTAGCAACACCTACATTTCTGGCTGCCCAATGTTCCCCACTGCAAGCCCCTGCTTTCAGTCTCATTTCTCTTGGAAATCTCTCTGGAAATTTCTCTGGAATCATGTCTGCTGATGTATTCCAGGCTACCTTGCTGCCTCAGAACCAACATTCTAGCAGGTTCCTGCTAAAATCAGTCCAGCGGTTTGAGACTGAAGCTAGTGAAGCAGGAGGCTTGCCTCATGCAATGCTAATTCTCACCTCTGTGTCTCTGGGTGTATCTCGCTTTTCCACTATTTGGATCAGAAACTGGGAATTTGGTAGTTCAGCCACCCTTGCTTCAGGAACAGGCCTTTGGCACATACTGCCAAACGTTGCCAAGCTGCAGCTGCACAATGCTCTTATGAAAATGGGTATGATGCTAGAAGCAGCAGAATCTCATCAAGCATCTACTGGGGCTGGCCCTGTGATCTGAAGAGCAGTCTGGAAATGAACTGGCTTGCACGCTGATGGGATCTTCTCTCGCTGTACCTCCAAAAGGGAACGGCACGGCTTCTTGTGTGTGAAGAACTGAAACCACAGCAGGATCGCTCAGCCCCTGAGGAGAGGGGTAATTCTGCACCTAGGGCAAGCGAAGGAGGTCAGCAGCACACAGGGGAGGGGGCTGAGAAGAGCTGGGGCTGAATACTCGCATATCGAATCCCGTTGATAGGGGAACTGCTCGTGTGGCCAGAGCCAGGCAGAGTGCTGGAGGAAAACAAGGATATTCCTTCACCGCTTGTTATTCCCGGAGCCATGCTCAGAGCCAGTGTCCCGCCCCCACGGGGCTGAGCGCGTGCGGGGGGGGCGGAGCCAGCTGTGACGTACCGAGGAGGGACGCGGCGCGATTGGCTCCCTCCTCTTTTTCCGCCTCCGCGGAAGGCGGAAGCGAGCCCGGGACAAGATGGCGGTTGCCCGGTGGATGTGTGTTTTGCTGTGCCTGGCCGCGGCCGCACTCGGGAAGCGCAGCCCGGTGAAGGTGCTGTCGGATGGCATGTGGCGGGAGCTGCTGCACGGAGAGTGGATGGTGGAGTTGTGAGTCGGGAGTGGGTCGCTCGGGCTGACGGGGAGGGTACGAGGGGTGTCTCCGCGGCCAGCTCAGAGGCCGTGTGGGACCGGGCGGTGCCGTTCGGTAACGGAGTTGTGCTGCCCCCAGCTATGCCCCTTGGTGCCCCGCCTGCCAGAACCTGCAGCCCGAGTGGGAGAAGTTTGCTGAGTGGGGCGAGGACCTGGAAGTGAACATCGCCAAAGTGGATGTCACGGAGCAGCCGGGTGAGAAGGGCTGGCGGGGACGGTGGTTCCTGAGGTCTTCTCCGGGGCTTCGGGCTTCCCATTGGCCGCAGAGTGCCTGGTGCAAGGGTGTAGCGGTTTAATCCTAGTCAGAAACCAAGGAGAAAGTCTTGAAACCAGGACAAAGTGTGTGTGCCCTAAGGAAATAGGATTAATAGGAAATTCGAAGTATGAGGAACTGGCACAGGTTGCCCGGAGAAGCTGTGGCTGCCCCATTCCTGGCAGTGTTCAAGGCCAGGTTGGATGGGGCTTGGAGCAGCCTGGTCTGGTGGAAGGTGGCCCTGTCCATGGCAGGGTTTGGAACTGGATGATCTTTAAGGTCCCTTCCAACCCAAACCATTCTAGGCTTTTAAGATAAAGATCACTTAATGTTTCATAGGTAACTACATTTAAAAAAAAAAAATTTATGTGCTTTTCTCATACACATTTTAAAATCATAGTCTTGCAGTAAACAGAATCCAAAAGGCTTTCCAGGACTCCTTCAATATTTTAGCAATATTAAAGGAGAAGAATAGCTCAAACTGACAGAAAATGGAGTTGTTTTGGGAAGCTTTTCATTTTGGGCATGTTAGGTTTTTGGTTGCACTCAATAATTGTAAATGATTCTGTGATTCTACTGAAGGCATATTGCTGGATATATACTAAAAACTACATAAGGGAGCAAGCAAATTTCTCTGAAGAGTGATTTTGGAGAGTTCCAAGGGGATTTTTGGCTGTAATTTTTAAGCATCATGCAGAGTGGAAATGTGGTTTTAGCTTTCCTTGTGGTAGTACCTCCCCTTGTTCCTGTGGCTGAAGCTCACTTACCTGAATTGCCTTCCTGTCTGTGTGGCGTTTGTAAGAATTACTTTCTCCATGCTGATGCTGTTCTTCGAAGTAACTTTTGTAACTTCTTCCCATAACTTTTGAAACTTGTCTTACTTGGATAATT